CTCGTGCCCTCTGGCCAATCTTACGTGCTTGCGTCTGGTATTGTCTCTGGCTCGAACGCAGCAACCGTGTCTTCCGCTCGACGCTGACGCAACTTCCCGCTGCCGCGCTCGCGATCCGAGCAGCTACTACCGCACGATTGCACATCCGGCACTTGGCTCGTCGCGCTGTAGTGCCATCTCTTGAAGCGTCGCTGGTCGCTCTCCGTGGCGATCCTTGGTGTGCACGCTACCTGGTCCTTCGCACAATCTCGAATCACGACCACTAACGCTTCTCGCTGACGCACCGGCCAGGCCTCACGAGCGCATTAGGAAGTCCACCATATCTTTATAATTGCATGTAATATAACTCAATTCAACAACTATGGCCGTTGGTCATGCGCGGTCGTTGTCCCACCGCTGAGGTCACGAGCCAATCGTCCACAATAGACGCCTCAAAATAGAGGATGACGTTGAGGTTGCTGCTGATGGCGTTTTTACAGTGCATAGTTTCGCATGTCTATCGTCATTTGTTGCTGTCGATTCCCACAGTGGAAGCTCCACCGACGCATTAGGTAGAGTCGCTAGCTTGATTGCATATCTCCCAGACACCCACCGTTGCACGCAACGACCTATGCGCAAAGGTATGATGGTACTTTGCCCCGCCATCCACCCATATACTGTGGTAGGAACCTCGATCCGCGAACCCACATAACTACGGGGCGTGGCCATGCAGCGCCAGTCGCCATCAAGAATGCAATGGAATCTCCTACCGCTGAGCACAAATCCGGAGGGCCTTGAACCGCCGACGACCTTCTTTTTCTGGCGACAGCGTCGAAACCGCTGGATGCGAAATGCCATCGTCCTCTCGGTTGTTGAACTGAGTTATATTACATGCGAAATGCCATCGTCCTCTCGGTTGGTTGACTGCGCGCCGTCGCCCCTACAGATTAAAACAACAAAGGTCATCTCGGGCAAGTCATCCCAGGTCGCAACTCCAAAAGGTGGACGAGATCGCCAACGTAGCACATGACGTGCGAAACAGACGTCGTGCGATTCAAGTGGCCACAAGAACACAGTGGTCGATTCTTCTGTAGTGGATACTAGGATAGAAAGCCTTCGGCGGTCGTGCATTAGGGGAATACCTTGTCGTAGCGACTGGACACGACGAGCTTGGTACTACGTCCCGCTCGCACTGGTGGCGGTCGTGGAGGACGGTCGCGGACATCGTCGAGGTCCTTGAGCAGCGTCGCGAGCCCGGCGGCGACGTCCCATTCAAACTCGATGCGCCGGACTTTGGCGCTGGCGTCGCCGCTCGGACGCATGTACAGGAGCTGCGTGCATGGACACGTGAGCGTTTGGTCCACGAGGCGGCGGCGAATCCGGCTGTCGGGATGGCTGCTGCTGCGCAAGTGCGGCCACATGGTCGCCACCGCCGCGTCGCTCAAGCCGAGCGAGACCGTGCCCACGACGCAGACGAGGTGCTCGTCGCTATCGAGCGCGACGGCCTCGATGCTGCGAAGCTCTTTCCGGAAAAAGGTAAACGCACTGGCGTACTGTCGCCACTGCTCAAAGAGCGCGTCGATCCCAGTCGCTTCGCGCAGCTCGACGTCGTCGGCCATGAGGTCGCGCAACACCGAGTCTTGGTCGGGCGACGCGACGTATCCGCGCATGAAGAGGCGCCAGTAGGCGCCGACGCGCGCCACGTCGTTGGCAAACCGCCGCTGCACCGTTGTCGCATCATGTCGGCTTGGCCTTCGAGCCGGAACGTGCTGTGGAGCAGCGCTTGGACGTCGGATTGAAGCGACTGAAGGTACGACCGTGTCTCTTGGCGGTAGCGGCGCTGGTTGTTGCGGCTCTGCTGGCGCCGGCGCGCGATCGCATCAGGCGTCTTGTACTTGGATGGCATGTGGTTTTTTTCGGATGTTGGCGTGAGTTGCGGCAAGTTGGGTTGTGTGTGGCCGGTGGCACCGAGTCCATAAGCGGGCGCGGTGACTTGGCTGGCGGACGGGACGGCTCCGGATGTATTCGGATGTGACAGGTGCTTGTCTGCTACAACTGAAGTCTTTCTTTTCATGCTCGATAGTACGGTACCAGCAGCGGCAATCGCGTGAGCCTTGGCCCGCGAGCGTGCGGGCACGAAGCTGATGGACTTCGGCGCTATTCCTTCGCAAAGAGACGAGTCACGTCCCAGTTGCGACGCAGTAGGTAGGGTCCCAGGTAGGACGCCTGGATCGTCGACGACGACGACGACGGCGTGCGTAAAAGAGCAAGCTGGCTGCAGCGTCGCACGCGCCCTTGGATTGTTTTTGGCCGAGGCGTCGCAGATGCCACTCTTGTCGCCGCCTGTTGAGGTGATCGGCAGCATAAATCTGGCGCACGTCCAAAAGCGTTCAGTGCACTCGAACGCTCCGATCGATGGAGGCGGACGCGGCGGACAGACAGGACGACGAAGGCCCTGTGACGTGCGGTGACGCCATCGCTGTCACGTATACAATCATGTTCGCGCCGGCGACGACCAATCGCCATTTGTTCCACAAGTTGGCACTACGTGGGGTGCAAATCTCTCCCGATTGGGCGTCCAATGCGTGGGATGATGCCGCCTCCATCTTCCTTTTTCCCTCTGCACCCAAGTCTGCGCGATCGACGCGCCATGGTTAGAGCATGAGCTCTCTTCTCAGCTCTCAAACGCTGAGAGCTGCATTCTCTAGCCATGGTGCGAAGACGCTTCTCAGTCAGCCCAGCGAAGCGTGATTTGGCTCGTATCAAGGTCCAATGGTACCGAGGGATATTTTATGCCCTTGATAGTATGACTCCTTGGAGCAAACTTAGTGTTGAAGTCCATCAAGTGCGTCGTGGTGGCGGTGCAATTTGGCCAATGAAAACCTCCAAGGCTGATGTTAGCACTTGGTCGAAGGCCAGCGTTATGTCAAGCGTCAGCTGGTCGGCTGGCGCTGGCGCTGAACTTCGAAGGAAGGACGCAGCCTGCGTCCTACCCTCAAAGTTTCGCGCTTGGAAAGGCTGCACCGTCCGGCTCGTCTGTTTTGCGATTCCCGCAGGCCATCCAAACCACGCCCAACCACCGTTTGTCGACTCGTCCCAAGGTCGACTCGATTTTCCGAACCACCCTCTGAGGACAGACACGACTTGACGACTGCCCTTATTTTACAAAAATGCACAACATGTCACTGCTTTATGGGCTTGGATTGGCTCTGAATCTGCGCATACGACGTCAGGTGGCAGTCGCGCAAGAGGTGCAGGATGTCGTCGACGTCGCTGAGGAGTGCCCAGAACGCGGTCACGAGGTCGATCTCGGTCGCCAGGCGCGTCACCATGAGACGTTCGCCGAGGTCGGCAAGGTAAAAGCTCTGCGTGCACGGGCACGGCAGCTCGCGCCCCACGAGCCGCTGCACGAGCCGCTCGTTGCAGAGGATGCTGGGAAAGAGTTGCTCGATCGTCGCCCGCGTGATGCGTAAATAGAGCATGCCGACGCCTTTCACAAGGCTCACGTCGTCCTCGAATTCAATGTAATCGTACGCGTGGCATTCCTTGCGCATGTTGGGAAAGCAACTCGCGTACGCGTGCCAGTTGGCAATGATGGCATCGACGCCGGTGGCCGATGCGCCAATGACCATGGCGTCGGAGGTGAAGAGCTGCCGCATGATGGCCAGTTGGTAACGTTCGCGCGGCGGGTCCGAGAGCGCGTAGCCGTGCATGAGCGCATCGCAGTACTCGCGGCAGCGCGCGACGCCGCTTGTGGCGCCCAGCGTCGGCGGCGGCGGCGGCAGCATGATGGCCATCGTATCCATGCGGCCCTCGAGCCGCGCCGTCTCGCGCGTGAGTGCGTACACCTGCTTCTCGAGCGCGGCCATGTGCACGCGGGCCTCTTCACGGTACCGCCGCTGATTGTTCCGGCACTGGATCTGCCGGCGCTCAGTCGCCTTCTGCGTGCGCGGTAGCCGGCTCGTGGGCATGGCCGGAGGCAATGAAAAATGACACAGCCTGTCGGCCGCCGTTTTCCTATTTACCACAAACGTCTCAATACGACGGTATTTCTCGCATCTGTCCCCCGCGGTGCGACGACGACCACGCCGACGATGGGCAAGCGCAGCACTCGCGAGCTCCTACTTCACTGCTGAGACTCGACACAGCTGGTGCACGGCTGCGCCACAAGAAACTGCGGCGCGCGGTCTCACGTGATGTGACTAGGGTGTAGTTCTTCTTCCTGCCCATTGCAGCGAGGTCCTTGATGACGCAAGCGTCCATACAAGAGCTTTTTCTTGATTCGTGGCATGTTGACATTAATTGTGAGCGCGATTTTCATGAGCGCCGTAAGATTACGCCCAGTCGCCAGCGCCAGTGAGTAGCTCGTGATTCGTCGCCGAGGCCGGTGAGGCGCGTCGGTGGCAATCATTTCAAGCAGAGATGGGACGTTGCTGCACACGAGCAGGCTGGACCGCGCGGCGATTGGCTCTTTCGGAGCCTCTCCACGACGACGTACTGTACCGAGATACTACGCCGGGCTTCGAATGGGAAAGTCATGGTAAATGCATATGGCCCACCTGGGTGACCCAATGGAAAGAGAACTCATTTGACGTGCTCCTCAAAGCGCCAACGACGACGACGACGGAGCCGCGATGCAAGCTTCATGACGTCGGCCTGCCTCGCTGCTTTGCCAGGCATGCAATACACGTAATCACCATGATAGGCAGCCCGTCAACCACACGGGTAGGTAGGTGCACGATGGCTTCCTCGCCGCTGGCCTTCGCGGCTGACCCGACGGGGCCGGCCAATCAGCGGGTGCAGTTGCTACGAACACAGAACACGTCGTACCACTTTGCACTAACGTCAGGCAAGGGAGCAGATGCAGGCGCTGGACACACGGCGAGCGATATCAGGAGAGCACTCATTGACGCAAGATGTCTGTCCAAGTCCAAGAAGGCCACGGCACGAGCCTCGCTTTTGAAAGAGTTGAAAGCACTGGACAAGAGATGTGTGTCGGACCTCGACCGGGCGACAGTGGATCGCGATGGGATTGGCTGGGCTATGTACCCATTTCACACGACTACATGACGACACAGCATGACGGCAATGGTTGTGGCCTTGGACCGCTGTTGAACCCTACTACATATTTACCTTATTTGGACCTCTTTAACGTAATAGAAATGACGCCGGTTGCATGCGGAAGCTCTCTTGTCCTTGACTGCCCGACACGTACTTTCCTAGTATGGCGCCTTTGTCGACAGAGCGCCTCTACGTCTCCACTTCTTGGCTCCAGCTTGCCTCGTTGGTGCCAAGTTTGCCGAGTCGCAACAACTCGGTCTCGTCGCATGCTGCTTCCCTCGCCGTGTGCTTTCAACCGCGGAAGCCGTGGCAACGGGGAACACTAGTGACTGGGGCCAGCAAAGCATGGACGGGAAGGCTTCTGGTCTATATTTTGTGCGTGGAGCAATCCGAGAAGGCCTCGTTCCGACGACAGCCAGCACATGCCACGGCAAGGATTTTTGGGTAGCGTCCTTTCTTGATGATGTGGCTGCGGCCTTGCGAAGGCGACGATCGCGGAGCTCCATCTCACGCGCCTGGCACGCGTTTAGGTTTTGGCTCGAACGCACGACGGCCGCGTTTGTCGCTCAGCCCACGTAATCGGTGACCTTCAAGCTAGTACGGCGGCTGCAACGCATCACGACGAAGAAACTCTGCGCAACCGCATCACACGAGCCACGCCCATCGTTGTCTGTAAAAAGACCTTGACATACTGGCACGACGACACTTAAGACCTGTGCTTTCTCGGCGCGTTGTCGTTCTAGTGCAGACAATTCGTGCTAATCCACCCGACGCGACTATCTCGCAACGTCCTCGCAGCACCAGAGAGTAGGTAGGTAAGCGCTGCATTTCTGCAACACACGGAGACGAGCATGAGCCCCAGGTTGTGCGGCAGCAAATGCTCCAGCGCGCAACGTACATGTAGTAGTACCGAGCCAGCACACGGTCTGAGAAGAGGAGATACTACAGTATATACGCGGATAAAGTAGACGGATCCTCGCGCAAGCTAGATGTGTCGCTCAAATTGCTTGAATAAAGAGAGCGAATGGCAGAGTGACATCTCATGGCCGCACGGTGTCGACGAGGACATTGGCCGCTTCCGCCGCCGAGGCCAGGCGCCGCACGACACAGGATGTCCAGCTTACGTCGACGTCAACGGCGGTCACGACATCGTCTTGGACGATCAAGCGCACGACCAGCGGTAGCTACGTACACGTCCTTTCATGAAAAAGGTCATGGCATTTCAAGTACCTCGAGGGTCGCCGTCACGAGCGAAGTGTAGGCGGCGCTGGTTGGCAGCACGGTAGGAAAGAAATCGCGCACGCTCTTGGCGTCGAGGTGTAGCCGCAGCTGCCCCGTACAATGCAAGAGCTCGCCGCTTGTCTCGTCGAGAAAGGCCGACTCGATGGCGTGCGCCGTCATCTCGAGCTGCGCATAGTCGCGCCAATGGTCCACGAAGGCTGCGAGGTCCCCGCTGCCTTGAAAGCGCAGCGTCGGGCTCATGCGTGTTTGGACAAAGGCAGAGGCGCCGCCGAGGCCGTGCCGAAACGCCGCAAAGTACGCGCGGGCGACGACGGTGCCGCGCGTGGGCGCGGAGTGGAGGCACTCGAGCCGCCCCTGGAGCCGCGCGGTCTCGGTCAGAAGCGATTGCACTTGATGGTGG